TGGTTTTTGCACTCGAAGAAGATGAAGACCAGTTCTTTCTGCCATATCACGGAGGATAACCATGCAATTTGTAGCACTTGTCTTTCATGTGACCAAGAAGACTACAATAACTACACTGGGGATGATTCTTGCGAGGCCCATGAGTTGATTTAACAGCAAAAGTAGTTTCGACCACCGGATTGTCCATCTTAACCAATCTTTGATTCTCTTCTTGAACAATCAAAGAGAACACTTTTGAAATCGAAGGTAAAGGATCTAACAAAACGATTTATCCTCTAATATGGGTAAAAGAATCATTCAAACCCGTTAAAAAATGAAGAAAATTTTCCTGCTTCTGTTCATCAAGCATACGATGAACACCTCCACAGGTACAAGAGGAACAAGTACACACTTGTTTAATCGAAAAAGCTCATTCCAAACTATCTTTAATTGGGTGTAATACGTGCTAACTGACATCTGCCCTTGCACCAAGCCTTTCAACCTTTTCTTTAGTTGAAAAAGACGAGGACCATTAGATTGTTGAAATCGTTCAACCAAGTCTTTCCAGATTTAAGCCGCAGAGCTATGGTATAACAAACTCGCAGCAATATCCTTGGACACATAGTTAAGAATCGATGAGTTTTCCAGATTATTTTCCCTTGTCCAGCCATTAAAGAGCTCTGCATAAGATGGATCTAGAGCGGTAATCGACCTCTCTATGAAAGTTACCACTCGATAACGGCTGGGTAACCAAACCCATGCCTGGATTATCAGACTGATGAAGGTAGAACGAGTTGCTTCCATTGTCAAAATTGTCACCGAGGGTATTGGCCATTGCGAAACAAGCGTGAAGAAAAGGGGAAAAAAAAAGATTAAAAAGAAAGTACTTTTGATACCATATACTGATTCACTGGTTCAATCGGGTTCAATCGGGTTCAATCGGATTTTATATAAAATAATATTTTTTTAATTTTACATAATATTCAAAATAATATTAATATATATGTAACACTTTTTTTTAAGTTTACAATATTAAAAGGTATAAAAATATCACAAGTCATAACATATATAAATTAAAAACCATAAAATCAAGTGAAACAAAATGATTCAAATCAACTACAACATAATATTTAAGGTAAAACATATTAAATAATAAATATAATTATATAATTATAATCAAAAAATAAAATTGGGGCTTAAAAAATTATAACAAATAATGTCATTTGATTTAATTTTTTTTTAAAAACAATCTTACATGGCTAAGAAACATAGAAGAGCATCCCAAAAGTTTAAAGAGTAAAAATATGAGAACAAAACAATCCCACATGACTAAGAAACATAGAAGAGCATCCTAACTTACTTCTATAAATAATAGAGATAATTTGACATTCAAAATCATAGAGCCTTTTGGTGAGCACAAAGCGAACTATTCTTTCGATTCAATTCAGCTCAAATTTTAGGCTTCAATCGAACTTCTAAATTTTTTTTTAGTTCGAGCCTTTTCGAGTTCAAGTTTTAATATTATATTTCGAGTTCGAGTTGAACTTGATAATTTTTAGCTCGTGAGTTTTTGAGTCGAGTTGAGCTTACTTTTAAAGTTTTCGAGTTCGAGTTGAGCTCAACAATACTCGAATTTGACTTGGCTCGTTGAACACGATGTCGTTTGGTTTAATTTTTTTTAAAAGAAAAAAGCGAACCGGTGATTCAAACCGATTTTGCCGGTTTTCAGCCGATTCATCCCGGTTTTACCGATTTTTAGTCGGTTCATTGCCAGATCGGTTTTGTGAGGTAACCAGACCGGACAGGCCTTCGGTTCACGGTTCAACCGGTTAAACCGGCCAGTCCGGTCCGGTTTTGATAACCATGCATATAACAGACGAGAATGCAAGAAAGCTTGATTGAATAAATGCTTCTTGTTACCATTTAACGTAAAAGATTACAAGGCTTATATACAAGTTAAAAAAACAATAACTGACTTAAACTAACTTGAACAAATAACCATTACTCTAATACTGATTTCTAATTACTACCATTGTTTTTGGCTAAATTTAAGCTTTCTCACTCAAGAATTTTGAATGCTTTCATCCAAGAGAATATGAAGGAATCTCTCCTGATTTACCATCGATTAGTTTTTTGTGGAGAGACATCATTCCATGTTTTCATTTACTTAATATACTCTATTTAATTCCAATATATATAGGTAAGTGATGGCATATTTAACAACCAACTATAGCTGGGCTCCTTCTTCCTGGAGCCACCGTGGGTGGCGGATCTGGGAGGAGGTGCACTTCGGGGTTCATGGGGGTTGCTATTTTGGTCCAATATATTAACGTTCCGATATTGTAAAAAATTGACACATGTATTAACATTTCTCATGTTTTTCCATTATACACCCCATTTGGGTTATTTGCCATGAAAAATTTAAATTTTAACTTCGATCGGTAAACTTTAATTTAACACTTTTCAGTGTTTAATTTAATCTCAAATCGAACTATTATTTATCCAACTAACCTTAATTGAAAATGACATCCTTTTTACGGATTTAGATTCATATTTAGACCATTTAAACAAATTTATGATCATTAGACTTAAAAATATTATGTTTCAAAACTTTGAAATGGTATCATGAAAAAAAAGAAGATTGATATATTAAATACCCTTAAAACCCTATTCTCACCTATAAGAATCAGATTTATAAGAAGATAACCTCAAATAATAAGGATGAGGTGAGATTTCTAGTATAGGTTCTTAAGCTTAAAATATAATTATTTTAAGAACTGAACACTTAGAAGAGGATTTTGTTGTTCTGGCTCTGATGTTTTGTGACTCCAACAATCAGATAAGTTCAGGCTCGGTGGTTTATATAATTCCAAAGTGAATGGTAGAGCTTAATTTTATCTGAAAACAATATCTCTGTGTGGCCCTCAATCTCAAGCCATGTGTTGTAAATTGTTCAACTTCCTTTCTTCTTTGGAAAAATATATAAGAAGCAGTGAGCTGGAACGATAAGAGGATGAGGTGGGATTTGGGGTACGGGTCCTTGATTCAATTCAACAGTGGGTACCGTTGCATTCTTTCTTCTGAAACCATGCAGATGCAGGGACAAAGGGTAGGTGAAGCAGGAGTGCATTTGATTGGACCAAGGATAGTATTTTGTCGTTCTGGGCCCTGGGGTGCTATTAGCAGGGTGGAGTGCATTTGAATTTATGAAAGGTTCCATTTGTTTAGGTAACATAAACAAATCCAATCATTTATCCTAAACTTCTCTGATTGGAGTGGGCCCTATCAGAACCAGAACAACAAAATTCTCTCCCAAGTGTTCAGCTCAGTCCAGAAGGAAAAAAAATAAAAATGAATTGATTTTGTTGCTGCCCAGGATCGAACTGGAGACCTTCAGTGTGTAAGACTGACGTGATAACCACTACACCACAGCAACTTATTGGTTAGCATCTTTCATGTCTTATATTTGTATTTTATATACCGAAAATAACATAACCACAAAAATGTGTAAATCAATCCAAAAGGTTTACTATAAAGCAGGAATGAATGGTTAATAAAAAATAATTAATACCATAAATTATTATTGAAACAATTTATATTTATAAATTTAATCAAATAATCACTAAATTATTCTAAAAGAGTTTTTTTCTTAATATTCAACATTTTATAAAATAGACATTAAATTTTAGGTTTTATTATAAAATAAAAACAACATCATTATCAGTTGTTAAAGTGATGAATTGACATATTAAGTTAATTAACATATCTCATTTGATCCCTAACTTTAATTAAAATTGTAATTTATACAAATATATACAAATTTGTAATTTATTTTAAAATTTATAAAACCCAACTGCCTCCCAATAATTAAATATAAAATAAAACTTATGTTATAAAATAAAAAAAAAATACTTAACTCTCCACACATACTTGTCATTTGGTAACTAGCATGATCTTTAGAGAAACCTAATGCCAAAGCAAAAATCTATTTGAAGCACATTAATTAATTAGCAAAATTAGGTGGGCAACATCTTACCAAAAAAAGATGGACTAACCTCCCAACAAACACTTATAGTGAATAAAACCCCAAAGGAACCTAATCCATTAACCCATATCGGCAAGGATGACGCCATATTGTTGTGGAAAAAAAATGGATCTTATAAAAATCCAAAATTTCATTTCCGTAACATAAGACGATTACAATGTAATTTTTATTCAGAATTTTTGTGACATATTGATATCGAACACACATCTGTAACTATTTAAACTTGAGATCGTTAAAGAGAATAACACTCAATTTTATCACTCAATTGAGTTCTCGTTTAATAGCATTAACGTGACAATATGTGTTCGGCTAAAAGATTTATTGATTATGATAATGGAAAGAAAAGAGTTGGAAAAAGCATCTTCTTGATGTTGTGACATAAGCTTCTTTAGACAAAGCTAATATGAGGAATGGACAGGGGGGCAATGGCACGTGAGAACCTTTCTAATGGCACCCAAATTAAGCAAAGGTAAGCCATCAACAAATTTATATTAACGAGCAGTTTGTGTTGTGTACAAGCTCCAAATGTCATCTTCCTTGGGAATATCCTTGCCATTGATCGGCAGTTCTAGTTAAGTGACTTGCATTGTAAGGAATGAATCATGGATTTTAGTTGGTTAATTAGGTGTAACAAGAGAGTAGGCTTAATTTCAGCTAAAAACAAGACGTACCATTATATATATTATGTGTATAATTTATAATATAAATGAAGTAAAATCATATGAACAATAAAACATACCAAAGTTAAAAAAAATAGTTACCACATCTGAATGCTTAGTTTAAAAGTTACGGCATCTACCAATCATAGTGAGCCTAACTTTATGAAATAAAAAGATGCCCCATTACCCTCTCTTTTCGTGAATGAAAGGCAACCATCAACACCGCTAACCACTTACTCAAAGGCACTCAACTTCAACATCTACATCGGCAAAAAATAGAAAATATTAAAGAATCCACGTTATAATAATTGATATATCTGTAAAATTACATGGAGTTGAATCAACACTAACTGTGAAATTCACTTTGATTTCATGGGATTTTGCATTTTAGTAATGACAATCTACCAAAGCTGGTGTGGTGAAGACAATAGCTTGAATCTGGGAATCTCTGAGATCATCTTCTGGTGCCGGAAGATTAAGATCCAACAATGTCTTGTTCGATTTGCTTGTGGTGATTTGATCGACGTTCATGGTGGTTCCGGCCACAGTTGGTGCAGCCCTGTGCCGACTCATGTGACCTCCAAGAGCTTGACCAGAGGTGAACTCGGAGCCACATATCGAACACTCGTGAATCTTATTACCCTTTCTGTTACTTACTCGTACAGCCACGACTTCATCATCGACTGCCAAAACTAGTGGTTTTTTGTGCTCCATGGCGCTTTTCGGCTTCTTGTGGCTTGCCATGTGCCCTCCTAGAGCTTGGAAAGAAGGGAAAGATCGGTTACAAGTTTTGCACTGGTACACATAAAGCTCCACGTTCCTTCTCGTACCACCACTTTGTGCCAACATGATTAGGCAATTAGCCATCTCCTCTTCTTCCTCGGTGCTCTCGTAAACCCGATCACCGGACGTTGTGGTCGGAGAGGAAATCGAGTTATATTCCTCTGCCACTCCTCTACCACCGCCGCTTGATGAGCTAGAAGTCACCGTGACACCAAACGGGGACGCTGGCCTTTGGCGCTTCGTACGCTTGCCTTTCATGATCAAGGCTCCGCTATCATTAAACCCCAAAAATTCCTCCTGAGATTGCATATCCACACCTCCTCCTAAACCAAAAGCCAGCCAAATATAGAGTATGAAAGAGTCTCAAAAGACAGAAAACTGTAGTGTAGAAATAAGCAATTAATGTGACCCAGGTAAAGGAAATGAGTAGCAGCTAGAAAACAATAAGAACGATTATGAAGCAAAGTTAGCAATGGGATTCTCATATATAGTGAATTACAAGAGTGATGATTGGTGTGTGTATGTATATATATATAACCGGAGCATTAAGTGTTTTTGGTCAAAACTCAAAAATGCCGTCCATGAATAGTGTAACTATCGTTGCATACACTACACCCACGTCTTTTTGTTCTTTTCATTTCCAAATTTTAAAGGTATTACTGCTATAAATTGACAAAATCTCGAGTTTGAATCTTATGGAAAAAAGTATAATGTTGAAAAATTTTATCGACTTAATTTAATTTTGAATATAATCAAAGACTCACGTGACTGCTTAAACATTAAATATCTGATATCTAAAAAGAATATGTCTCTATAGTCCTTTTATACCTAATTTTGAGAAGTTTTATTGTTTTTGAAATATTTATACTCGATAAATTTCATTAATTACAAATAGATAGAGAATTAATGTTCGGTTTAGAATTATTACAACCATATTTAGCTTTGGTTAACAAAATCCTGTTAGTATCTTAGGGGGTGGATACAAGTAGGAGTGTATGCAAAGATAAGAGTTGAGGATTAGGTGGAAGGGGGGGGGGGGCGAAAAGGGGCAAAGTGAGGGTTAGGACAGTTCAGTTGAGTTGTTGTTAACGTCAAGAGACAGTTTCAACCCATAACCATAAAAAGGAAAAACATTAAATTAAGCCCAAATTTGAGGAATTGCACGTTAAAAAAGCATGAGATGCTGCTACCTGCGTTTATTCCCTATGTCTTCTTCAAACCAAAACAACACCACATTATTAATTATTTCCATTACAATATTAACATAGATTTTGAAAAAAAAAACACCCTTTGAAATAGAAAAAATTGTGTCAATGTGACGAGTTTAAAAGTATTCATAGTTTTAATTATTTGACTTGGTTAATGACAATATAAAAGTAAAAGATTTTTTATGTTTCTTCATTAGTCTATGTAATCACAAGATAATATTTGTTCATATTTTTTTAATCATTGACAATACATACATACTATACAAATACAATAGATGTACTGCAATCGCCAGTGCCCCTACCCAACAAGTAAAAGAAATGAACACAAAGTGTCAAGTGGGGGAGGAGGTTTATTTCACAAGTCATAAAAAGTTTCACATGACGAAGGGATTGTGTAACAATTTCCTATATGATTGGATCAATAATATTCCCCTCCACCGTATTCATAGAATCAAGAGATTTGGAGGGCATATTTTGGGTATCAAATAACAAAGATAATGATAAAAAGGACTAGTTTATTTATCAGCTAAATTTATTGTTTCCAACGTAGCTAATTGTAGAGGGGCATATGCATCAGCCCACACAGTCGTTCTTTAGGATTTTTGGTTTAAGTTTATAATTTTTTTTGGACAAATCTGCTATTATAGCTTTTATGATTTGGATTTTAATTAATTATATAAAAGAAAATTTAATTTAATGTAATATTGTCTCATTTTATGAAATAAAATTAAAATAAGGAAATAAGGAATGAAGGTTCAATGTACAGGGAGAAGAGATGAGTAAAGAGTAATGATAAAATAAAGAAGTGAAGACAGTTATGTGAGGCAGAGCCGCAATTCTTTTCTGTATCCTGCCGTTGTTGGATGGAAGAACTAGAGGTGTAAAAGACCCAAATCGAGTTTGAGTATTGTTGAGTTTGACTGAGTACAAAACTTTGAAACAGAGCTCGACTCGACTCGAAAACTCGTGAGTTTAAAATTTTCAAGCTCGACTCGAACTCGAAATTCTGAACTGAAGCTCGTGAGCAGCATGAAAATGCTCGATATGAAAAGAAATCTTAAATTTAACTCGATTAAAACCTCAAACTCAAATTTAAACATAAACCTTAAATACATGAAAACTTTATTATATTTAAAAAAATCAACATATAAATATTAATATTATTAATAATTTATTTTAAAAAAAATAAAATCTTAAGATATTAAATTTTTGAGTTGCTCATGAGTTTTTCGAGTCGAGTATCAAGTAGCTCTTTCGGCTCGTTAAGAACTCGAGTCAATTCCATTCGATCCGAGTATTTATCAAGCCTTAATCGAATCGATCTCGATTAACTCACTATCTTTTCTATCTTATTTACAGTCCTGGGAAGATCAAGTACCTGCCAAACCCAACTTTTTTCCCCTCTTTTTATTTTATATGTCAATCAGATCTAGCGGATTTAGGGCATATTTTGAGAGAGAAAATCATCAGATAAATTAAATTTCGTTGATAATGAGAAGGTACACAGTACCAAAAAGAAATAATAATTGTTTTATATGCACAAGCTTCTTTTTTTTAATAATATATTAACTTATTATAACATTTAATTTTTTTATATACACGAACCAAACGAGTTCAATGATTGAAGAGACTCTAGGGATTTCAAGTCCGGACACGGTAAGTTCAAGCATGGTATCTATAGGATTATTTAAACATTTATTGTCAAATGATTAATAATCTTTCAAATAAATATTAAATCGTAATTATTCAAACTAATAAAAAATACACAAAGCTTTTATTCTTATTATTACTAGTACATGTTATAATTTTATACTATATATGTTATACTCTACTAAAAGTCCGCCGTATATCATCACAACTCACGATCATTGGAAGATCTTAAAATATCTTTGTTTCTCCGATATCAAAGAACTTCCGGAAAGGCGTAAAGAGAATAATTTTGGAAGAAAGATTATGAAAATCTAAGAAATTAATATGACATTTGACACAACCATGTGACTCACCGAAATTGAATCCGCCGTCATATGAGTATATTCACTTATCCTATTAACCTACAAGTATTTATTATAACCCTATAGCTCACACACATTAACAAGTCCCTATATAACCTCTCGAATATGACAGAAACAAGATGAGACATCTATGAAATCACATCACCTATATTCTCCGTTGGTTTACCTCCTTATGAAGACGGAGCAATTTACCACTAACTACCATTCTCCGTCCAAAAAATAATAATAATAATAGTAAACCTCCAAGGACATAAAAAATAATATCGTATATATAGATAGTTTTTTCATGTAAATTAATTATAAATATTTAAATCTTATCATATACAAACTATATTTAGAATTATTCCATTCTAAATTCGGATGAAATCCGATCATTTAACTTTGTAACGATAGACTTTCACATGATTTGCTTGGTATCTAACTGAAACAATATAAGAGAAGGAGTGAGTTATATGCAAGCCAAATACAGGTCAAATTATAATTTTGGTCCTCCTACATTCGAATTGAAAACGTTAATTTGACATTATTTAATTATTCAAATATTAAAATATGAACATTTTTTAAAACATCATTTCCAACTTAGAAAAGGACCGAAATACTATAAGGAAAAAAAACAAATTACGTGAGATTAAATCCCTATAATAAAATTACCAAAATAGTTAAACTAAATCCAAACTTGAATATAGTGAGACCAAAATCTCATTATTTGACCCCCCCCCCAAAATTTCATGCTTCAACTCGCAGAGATCCTAATAACCAGCAGCAGCGCGGACCTTTATATGCTCATAAAATGCAAGTTTTACACTCTACGGGTTCACAAACCAAAACACAAGCAACTTATTTTGTATTGCATTGGAAATCATGACACAGTGACACACAAAGATGATAATAAAGGTCTGCACAATCTCATAAAAGAGGTTATCAACGTTGAAAGTAACATCACATGCGCCTCTATAAGAGAAGAACCAACCAACTAATGATATCATCGAAATGAATTATATCGGGGTCAAGCCAACAACTCCTGCAGAGAGATTACCAGAAAAAACAAGACAGTAAATATCCACTAGCTTTGATATGTATGCTGGAAATATCACTTAGTCTGACACTAAAACACTCGATTGCCGTATGGCAGAACCGACAATATTGTGTACAACGTAAAACATATAGATACATCTATGACATTCATTGTCATGCCATGGATGTGCAAGTATTTCAAATAATCAAGTGAAAAACAACTATGCTCAAAACACGGATGCAAGAAAAAGAAATCAAGGATGAGTCTGAAGTTCTTGTCCTCTCTGTAAACATATAGGCATGCAGATAAAAAATACATGTGCACATACTGCATGCCAATCTTCCGCCAGCATTGCCAGTGGTTAGACTAAGTTCATGTCCACCTGCAGATGCATAATAAGACATAAATATAAGCAAAACGAAAGTAGGAAGTAAATAAGAGGGAAATTCTGTAATCAAAAAGCAAAATATGCCCACCGTACAAACAAAATCAACTATGATGATGCATGCATGAAAGTTTAAACTTTAAACAAAGAACTTCAGTCCTACAAGGCTTCAACCAAAGTGCACCATCCTAACATCGTAAATAGACCCTACAAGTCACTCTCCTCTCCACAACTCATGAGGGCAGTTAACTCGTTAAGGAACTGTGAGAATTGCAATTGAAAGAGTTACCCTTTCCAATATCATCCTCAAGCTCATGAACCACAAGTGCTCTTCCAACTACTGCATTGGGGCCACTTAGTGGTATCTACACAAGAGAGTCAAAGTTACGTAATCAAAAAGGAAACATGATCAAGAGCCCGCATACTGAAATGCAAAATTTCATGCTCAGACACATGAGAATATCCATGTACAGGGATTTTCATGGAAAGAAACATGAGTTTAACATCACCTGATTGTCCACGATTGTTGTCTCTGCACTCCTGCATTACAAAACATTGGCCAACAAATAAATTTAATTGGAACACAGACAACTTTTTTTAAAAATGAAAAAAAAAAAAAACAAAGTGAATTTAAGAATGTATTACCATGTGTCATCTTGTTGGGGTTGAAATGTGCTCCTATCATTTAAAATAAAGAATCTAAAATATACACAAATCGAAACACAAGAACTTCCATTTGTTGTACCTGCGGCATGCATCCATTTGTTGTGTCACCATATTCATGCTACAAAAAAAAACAAAAAAGAAAGGTTAAAATCATTGATTTCAAAGAACTTCCATGTACTGAAATCCACTGGAAACAAGCAGCTAAAGCACAAAACACTCACTAGGTGGAACCCATGAGGCCCTGGAGTAAGACCGGTAATACGAACATTCACAGTTGTAGGGCCTAATTCATTCACAGAACAAATTAGCATTCTCAGATGATATCAACATTTTATTGCCAAAAAGATAAGAGATATACAAGCTTATCATTCATTGTAGATTGAACTTGAACATAAAAAATTGATTAATTAATAACAATGTCAACTTGAAAAACAAGAAGAAAATCATGGTAGCTCTAAAAATCTGGCATTCACAACATATAAGGTGTACCAAGAATCTATCCAACCTCAAAGTATGAAACTTGGAAATGAATTCGTCAATAAGAAAAACCCATAAAGCAAAATGCACCAAAACCCAAATTACAAAATGCATTATAAAGTAAAGCAATGGATCAAAAGTGAGGGGGGTAACACTGACCATCATCTTCCTGGGTCAAAGTGACAACGCCTTCAACTTTAGAATCACCTCTGAGAACAGCGACTGCTTTCTTTGTGACATCAAGCACCGAAAACGGCTTCTCGGGGATAGAGGCAGAAAGGGAGAGGGATTGGCGGGGGAGCTTGAGAGAGACGCCACGGAATGAGGACAGAAGAACCGGAGGGTTTGAAGGGTTAGACGAGGACGAAAAAAGGAGTGTGTGGTGAGATGGGGTTGTGGTGAAAATGGCGTGGGCTGCCATGGCTGCTATTGTCGCAGCTTGAGCTGAAGATTGTGAAGGGGACAATGTGAGTTGAGGCTGTGGTGGCTGCGTATTTTACTCGTGAATGGTGCTCGAATCTTCTGATTTTATATGCGGCTGGATCGGCTATGGTTCGGCCTGTGAATGGTGCTCCAATCTTCTGTGCTGTCCGAGAGTTGGTAAATAATGAAATCTCATGGCTTTACCAGATAGTCTGGGTAAATGGCCAAATTTGTTAATGCCAAATTGAAATTTTATTTTGGTAAGATTTATTCCATTGATATTCGTTGTTATGAACTTTGTTATTAAAAAATGATTTATAATTGTATTTTATTAATTTAAAGTGATTAAAAATAGATTTTATGTAAGATACATATTAAAATATCTTTATAAATGTTATATCTTTGAAAAAAAAAACAAGTATTTCTCAATCATGATATGTTTGGTTGTGTATAATGTTTTCATTGATAATTTCTCAATTTGTTTACCAGTAACTGGCGAGAATGTGACATAGCCTGCAAATTAAGTAGTTAAAGGATAATTTTAATTTTTTTTCATTTATCAGAGCATGTTTCGGTCAGGCCTGAATCATATGAAAGCAAACCCCATAAGGTTTGGGTACTTAGATTGGGCTTAATAACTTTTCCCCATCCCCATGCATAACTTAAAATGGGGGGCTGGCTATCCTTTTAGGCCAAATTGGCCCATTACGGCAGCCGAAAAATGTAGCCCGTTAGGGTACCCCAAACATTTAATTGATTTACGGCAAATTGAACAATCCCCATGGAACTCGTCACGTCGATGTGACGAGTTCCATGAGATATAATTTTTTTAATAGGTCTTCTTAGGTGGGCCCCATAACTTGATTAAAAAATAATTTTAATAGGTCGGCGTGACGAGTCTCAATAAAAAATATTTTTAAATTTTTTTAAAAAAAAATTTAAAAATAATATTTTAATACCATGGAACGAGTTCCAACTAGTATAATTTTCAAATTTTTGACTGTTAGATTGATCATTGTTAAACGGTCGAGTTTTGTTTAAAATTTCAATGGAAAATTTATAAGTACATAGTACCGGTACCATTTCAGTATACTGGAATTTCACTAACTCTGTAACATTCCAAAAACAGGGCCAGTGACTAAATTGTAAGAATTAAAAGTTTAGTGGTTCAATTAGAATAATTTGAAAAGTTCAAGGATTTATTTTGGAAATTTTGTTTGGGACTTGATATCAAAATTGGATTCTTGGAAGGGTATTATGGTCTTTTCAAACTAAATATTTTATTCTCCCCTTTAAATAACATAAGTACGTGGGAAAGGAAAGAATTTCTCCAGAGTCTTCTTCAGTTTCTTCTTTCTCTCCACCGTGGGTTTATGCATAAGGTAAGTTGGTCTCTAGTTAAGATTTTCTTTCGTTTTAAAGTTGAATTTTATTCTTGGAATAGTAAGAAAGTTTAAAGAGAGATTAATGTGTGTTGAAACTCAAAGATTAACGAGTTATGAGAGATTGAAGATTTGAGGATTCAAAGTGAAATCTTATAAAAGAGTTAGTAATTGAAGTTTGAGGCTAAATTTGACTAGTCATCAATCTAATTAAGGAATATGAAGTGTTAGAATATGATTTAGAAAATATTGAAATTTGAGCATGATTCTTGAATTTTATATAGAGGATTGAATTTTGAAGTTAAAGATGTATTGAATGAGTATTAATTGGTTTAAGTAGGTGTATGTAAGTTAAGGATATGAAAAGGGTTGAACTATGGCATAGTTGAGCTAGAATGAAGTGATTTTCGTGCTTAAAATGTAATTCTGGGCTAAGGTGTATCGATACTCATTCAACAGGTACCGATACATCAGAAGAGAACGTAGAAAAATATCCAAAGGGTATCGATACCTTCAGGAGTGTATCAATACATCTTAAAATAAAACATTCGAATATAATTTGTGTACCGATACACAGGCAGTGTACTGATACACCAGTAAAAAAATGTATCGATACCCTATATTGAGTATCGATACACTTTAAAGGAAAAATGGAATTATATCTTTCTTTTAGTTTAAGAAATCAAGGATCGAATCATAGTATTTAGAATGCTAATATGTATACATGATTGTGTAGATATCGATCAAGAGCAAAGTCAAGACAAGTTACAAGTAATAGTCATCAAGAAGAGATAAGGATTTGGTATTAACTAGTGAGGTCAGGTGAGTGCACATTATTTAATATATGATGTTCAATGGGAAATAAGACTTGCGATAAGTCTATTCCCAATAGTAAAATGTATGAATTCATATATAGAAGTATGTGTTTGTCATAATTTATGTGTGTGCATGAGTATATGTGTTAAGATATTATTATATATGTTACATGGTTTGTATAAGTATATGTTAGTGTGTTAAGTCGTGTGAAACAATACAAATGATCTATATGATTATATAAGAATATGAAATAAGTTATGTGATAAAGACATAAGGAATGAAACGAACATGTGACATAGGCTATAAGTTAAAGAATTATTTGATATAAATATATGTGAACATAAGATAATCAAGTATAAGTTATATTATATGGTACAAGTGATTATACAAGAAATGTTATAAGACTTTAAGAAAATAGTATGTAAATTAGGGGGCATAAACATAAATGATGATACAAAATTATAAGATAAGGGATATAGGGAAGATTTATAATTAAAGGAAACTATGGTATAAGAGTTATAAAAATAAAAACTACAAAGCTTTATGAAAGAGTATTATAAGATAAGGGATATAGGGAAGATTTATAATTAAAGGAAACTATGGTATAAGAGTTATAAAAATAAGAACTACAAAGCTTTATGAAAGAGTATTATAAGAGTCATGTGAAATTGAATTAAATAAATAGATTAAACTAATAAAGAAATAATGTGAGATAAGTAATATAGGTTATATGATCTGTATGAATTCAAGTTAGTGAAATTAAATCATGTGAACGGTTATAAATGATTTCTGTGAGTGAAATGGAAAAATAAGATAAGATGAGTATAAATTACTTATAGGATAAAATAAGACTATATGAGCATGTAGTATAAACTTTATGAGGGAGACATTGGTGAAATTATTATAGGATATGAGTATATGGCATTACTAAGCAAATTACATTAAAGAGTAGTTATAAGTATATGTTTAAGTCTATATGTTATTAATAGGAAATATAAGATTATATGCTTGTATGATAATATGAAAAAGTGAACTAAGTTCAATGACAGTGATCCCTATAAGTATATGTGATATGTGACATATAACAATGAGATATATTAAGATAGTAATGTGATTACATGATCAGAAGATATGAGCTATAATATGCGATATATAAAAAGTGAACCATATGTTATATGAATATGAGAAATGATATGAAAGAGAATGCCCATGTTATGTGAAATTAGTGCTAAGGATATAGTTGGCATGCCAAGAGTCGAGGGTTCATAGGTCTTTCAGGACATACAGAGGTCCTTCGGGACATATATAGGTCCTTTGGAACAATTTCACATACCACTCAGTGGATCTTTATACGAGCTGTGGTGACAGCATATGTGCACAACCTCAATGTACTCACATATCTTTAGTTCTCACATATGTACATGGGCTAATAAATAGACAATAACACATATATGTTTGTGATATGAAATATGTTATAGAAATTACTTGATGTTGTGTGTATAGTGTTTGATCAAGAATGTTAAGTATAAAGTATGTTAATAATGATCTATGTGTATGTATGTATATATATTTCTTGCTATGAAATATGTTATGATTTTTACATGATGTGATGAAATGAAGTGAGTTTGTATAACATGATAGAGTTTGTAAAACAAGCATGCATGGTTAAATGTTATAAAGTGCATTAGAAATTTTATATGCCTCACTAAGTCATCGACTTAGCGTGTGAATGTTTCATACGTAGGTTCCGAGATGAGCTTATGGATCGAAGTGAAGCAAGACAGGTCAGTTCTCCTGACCGAATGTCAGATCAGAAGAGAAATGAATAATATGTATTTTATTTTATATAATCTAGTTGGCATGCATTTATAGAAAAATAAATTGTATAAGCTCTGAACAGTTTTGTAAACGTTTTGAGTAAATATATGTAAATTATTTAGTATGTTTTAAATGGAATTTGAATATTTCTCTATTTGATATAAGAAAATGGTTTGAAAAGTTGATATGACATCTCAGACTCGTATTCCGATCGGATACGGGTTGGGGGTGTTACAAACTCAAAATTGAAGGAGTAGTATCGATACCATAACTCAGAGCATCGGTACTACTACTCTAAGTAGTATAGATATCATATATGGTATCGGTACCATTTTAGCATTATGTTTTGACAGTATCGATACTGCATCAGCAGTATCGGTACTACTTCATTATTTTGGGTTTCAGTATCGATATATGTATTGATACTTCTTTAATAGTATCAGTACTGTTATAGCAGTATTGGTACTACTATATTTTAAAATCATTTTTTGACTCGATTAAAGTTTGAAACCCTTAGTAAAAATTATTTCAAAAAATTTTCCAGTATAGGACTCAAATTTTCAGTAGAGTGAGGAGTAAAATTTGACGTTTTAACTTTAAAGAATAATTATATATGTTTGAATAATTGAATCAAATATAATCTTAAAATTTGTAAAAACGTATTAACAATTTTGTTTGGTATATCAAAATATCAAAGTGTTTTCAACAATCTCCCATTTTTGATATAACAAAACATTTTAAAAAATTTAATATTTATTTTGAAAAATTACTCTCCCTTACTTTAACATTTGTCTCCCTTTTTGTTAAATCAAAAAAATTCAATAAGAATAAACAAGATATAAAATATAGATGTGAAGAACAAATGTGCCAAAATAGGTCAGTCAACATAAATAATATCCAAAATATAATGGGCATGGTCATAAACATAATAAGAGGTAACATGATATTAAAACAATGTGAAATATGATAAATATAAATCCAATCATCCAAAACATAATAGTATAACCAAATCCAAAATATCAAATGCGAAGAAATTCAAGGAAATTGAAAGTTCAAAGTATGACATTTGAAACACCAACAAAGAACAACTAGCAAATCAATAGCATGATCAATTATCTGATGGAGGATCGGGATCCGAACGAGGTGCACGAAAAGATGCAACGTCTTGTTAAAGAGCATCAAGCCTATCCGTCACGGCGTCGAATCGAGCTAAGGTGTTGCGTTGCAGCTCGGTCAGTTGAGTCCCCAAGGTAGTAAAATGGGACTCCACAGATGCAAACATCATATCTAAAGTCTCCATCATAAAATGAAAATAAGGAGGCATAGCATTATTAGCGCTCGGAGGCTCATCAGGGATGTAATTTACAGGATCATCAACATCTTGTAAAACATCATCGGCTTGAGGAGGAGCCGGAGCTGGAGCCGCTCGAGAAGAACTAGCACCATACGTCTTTTTAGGTGTTCGTTCCCAATTTGTCCCAACTTGAGTCCATCCTAACTTGCGGAGAGAGGTAAAATATATGGTTCCCAAGGGGATGGCATCATCTAGGTCGACTTTAAGACCAACTTTGATAAAAAAAAATTACTAAGAAGATAACCATAAACCAAAGACTCGACTCTCTTAGAGGGAATATGGTTCACAGTGTCCACTAGTTCACCGAAGATTATTTGAGCAAGGTTAATTCTTTTCTTGTTTTGAAAACAATAGATTCACCAAATGTCGATACTTTAGAAAGAGGATTACTTTCCTCCTGATGGTCGAAACCACCAAGAGATAATCAAGTGAATAAATCGCTCGTGGAATTAAAGGATACTAGTGTTCTTTTCTACTTCTAAGGAAGAATGGACGGTATCTCGCTCATTATCAATCCCGATGTTCTCAAGACCAAAAGCACAGGCAATAGAGTCAGAATCAATGATAATGTATTCGCCCAAGAGATAATAATGAATAATTTCAGTTTGTGTATGAGCTTTATTTTATGCAAACCTCAATAGAATTGAAAATGCATACTAGTTGGTAAAAGACAACGGGTTTAACTTTGAAGGTGTTGTCAAATTTCCAAGCTTGTAGAAGGGGTAGGTATTTAAAGTTCATTTCTTGCATTTCCGAAAGAGAGGGGAGATGCTCACCCCTAATAGTATAAAACTCAAAATAGTTTCGATATCGTGAATATAGATTTCGACAATTCGGTTCATTAAAACACAAATTTACTATGGTCATTTCAGTTGGATTAGGAGGAGGATTTGGCAGAGGGTTAGGAGGTGATTAGCACGAGAGGAGGAGGATCTAGGACGTTTGTGAGACATGTTAAAGAGAATCAGAATAAAGATTATACCTGCAAAGAAAGATAATACATATGTATGCACTCAATTAATCCCAAAACTCAATATGAGTCTACAATACAAGGTATTTTATAACTAAATATTTTTTTAATATAATATAATGGGCAAAAAAATGATGTGTTATATAAAAAAACAAGTTATGAAAAATAAAAGTATATGTATACCTATATTTTTAGAAACAAACGTACAAATTTTTTTAATGAAATTTCAAATTTTGAATATTTTGTTAAAAAAATTTGTATATTCTAGTATAAAAATGAAAAATAAGTCAAGCACATTCACTAATATAAGCAAAAAATAACTAAAACTAGCACTAAATTCGAAAAGAAAAATTAGGGTTTTAAAAAACTTACCTTGAAAATTAGGATTGAGATGGAATTTGATGATGAATGCATGATTTTGAAGATGCTAGCAGGCACGAAAGTTGAAAAACAACGTAAATTCGACTCCAAAAAGATGCAATGAGGTGATTTTGAAAGGGGGTAATGACGTGGTGCTCGTCGATTTTTTTGTGGTCGTCCACTTTTTTCATTTTCCTCTTCTTCCGGTTCCGGTGTTCACAAAACTACTCCACCACTTTGATATACATCTTCGGGTGAAAACGATGGAGTACTCAAGGTATTTGACGCCATCATTGACATCATTGCCTCAAATTGAGATTGTTCATGATAAAGAAGATGATCCCATGAACCTCTTTCTTATGATTCTGAGGAAAATTGTTGTGAAGATGGCACTTGATCCCACCCACTTCCTTCCCACGCCGCTCGACTCTCCATCGATGATTGATATGCACCATATCCACCATAACTTTCTTGCGATAGATAATATTTGGCGAAAACATAAGATGAAGTTGTTGATGAAGATGATTATTTTCCCAAATTTCCCTTCATTATTTCCCACTCGGACCGTTCCTCTGGCGTTGTCAAGTATGGTTTCTCATTTGCTTCATAATTTTAGAGGTAGATAGAAATATTGAAATCAAAATCTTCAGGTTGTACCTCAGAACGATTAGGCAATCGTAAATGTCTATTTTGCCAATCATATATGAATATAGCATGCTTCCTCGGCTAGTCTTCGCTATGTTTCCCACGAGCATCAACTTTATGCAAACCGTCAATGTTATATATTGGCATTTCTATCGGTTGGTGAAACCTCGTAAAACTCTATCTGCGACATGGATCTCAACAATTGCAAAATGGAGCAATGGTGTTATGGCATCCAATTAAACTGTCAAAAGTATTATGTTAGTATAATTAAACAATTAAAATTACAATTTAAATGTTAATGCAAAAAATACAAAAATTTACCGCATGTCTACCTGTGATATCAATTCTCATCCGAATATCTACTTTGGTTGCACTCAACAACTTTGTATCGATTATTCGGTGTCGCCATCTAAAAAAATTTATAAATTTTATTATCATTTTCAAAATATTTAAATAAATATTATAAAATATTAAAACTTTAAATATATGAATTTACCTTGCGGTGAGAGAAAACTCCATAATAGCGAATGTAATAGGCGTCATAAATGGGAGACGATACCACGCCTATGATTGGAGTAAAACTAAACAACCCGCTACATCCGTTTTTTTTCCTCTAACGACTACGGTCGCCTTACATAGTTCACGAAAAAAAACACCAAAATTGCAGAACCCCAACTATATTGGCGACATACAACAAAATCCTCCATTACCAGAATATATTGGGTGTGCACCAAATTGCCCAATTTATCCGGTAGCAAGATCCCTCCAATCAACGTTAAAAGATATGCTCGAGTTACATATATCACCTCTTGCTCCGTTGATTGTTCATCTACTCTAAATTCTCTTTCAACCACGTCATCCGTACCCACAACCCATCAATGACATTGGTTGGAGCCTCCTTTCCCAATAAATTTGAAAAACATTATTTACCTTATAAGTATTGCGAAGCGCTAATGGCATACCATTAATCGGAACGCCAAGGTGATACGTGACATCTTCCAAAGTTATCGTTATTTCACCACAAGGTAAATGAAATGTATGCGTTTCGGGCCTCCAACGCTCAATCAACGCCGATATCAGTGCCGACATCACCTTAAATCCGCGAAGAAACATCGCTCCATATAATCCGGATTGTGAAAGATATATCACCATCCGCTGATGTGGCTCTTCATTCGTCATTCCTCGATGACGAATGGTACGTTCTTCTCGCTACAATTTGAAAATAAATTATTTAATACAATTACATAAATAATTATTATTAATACTATAATTTTGTCAAAACTAAAATGAAATAAAACAAATTAAACTTACTGTTGTCAACTCGATTGACGAAATATGAACTTCATCAAAACGTAACATTTCTGATCTTGAGGCCATTTCAACACAAATTGTTTAACACAAAAGTTTTTGCTCTCTGTATAATGTTTGATTACAAGTGAAAAATTTATCCAACCCAAATCTCTATTTATACTAGTCTACACAACGACTAGTTTTTTCAAACTGAAAATAACAGTTGGATTGAAATTTTTAAAAAAATTCGACCGTTTAACAACGGTTAATCCAACAGTCAAAAATTTAAAAATTATACCCGTTGGAACTCGTCACGTCGGAGTGAGGAGTTCCATGGCAATAAAATATTATTTTATTGGGACTCATCACGCCGGTGTGACGAGTCCCTCAAGAATATTTTTTTAATTAGACTATGAATCTCACCTGACACGACCAATTAAAAAAATTATATCACGTGACGAGTTCCATGATGACTGCTCAATTTACCGTAGATTCCAATTTAAAAGTTCGAGTGCCCTAATTAACTAAATTTTTTACCCGACTGTCGTAAAGTGCCAATTTGGCCATCCTTTTATGTAGAGAAACTTGGACCGCCTAGTTTTGTTATACCCCACTTACTGTGTATAATAGTAAGATATAACGAGTGAATTACACGAAAAAAATACCAAGTTGCATGGTTCCGAGAGAATTGCAACAGTTTCAATTTACAAGGTCGTAACTGTGCATAGAATTATGTGCCCCAATCAAATGATAAACACCAAGTATTATGCAAAGTCATACGAGTTTCCTTCATCAACTCTTTTCTGATTAAGAGAGAACCATTATTCGAGGTTGCAGTCTGAAAATATAATCAGTTTCCCCCGATGAGATTTGTTTTGATTGTCTCATTTTACAAGTTGACTTTTTTTTTTATAATTCAATTTTATTACCTAAAAAAGTATAAATGCTACAAAAATCAGTATCCGATCACCTGAAATAATTACATGCTAAAAACAAACAGAAATCAATTGGTTTAATCTATACCCCAAGCTATACATAGTTTGGAATTAACATAGTCAAGTCTATTGATGTTTTTTCCTCTCAACTTAATACCTACTAAATCTTTAATGCTTCTAAAGATGTCAGCTGGATTTCGAGATCAACCTTTGAAGATTCTACGATTTCGTTCCTCCCACAGAACATAAATGTTGGTGTTTCTAGCAATTTTGAGAATAGTGGTTAGGAGTGACTTGTCTTTCCAAGAATTACTTGCCCAAGCAACAATTTCTTCCCAGGAAGTGTCTTGTTCAAACCACAAAGGTGAAGAGTATTATCTCTTACTTGAGTAGAAAAATGGCATTCGAAGAACAAGTGATTTCAATTTTCCTGCATGTCATTACAAAGAACACAAGTCCCAGAGCAAATGATTCCCATGCGTTGTAATCGGTCTCTAGTGGGAAGCCTATATAAGATTGCTATCCAACCTATTACACTATGTTTGGGAATATGATGTGGGAACCATATCAAAGTATGCCAAGTCATTTTGTCCCCCTTATGTCTAATCTCTTGCCAAATTTGTCTAATAGAATGAGTTCCATTTGACAATATTGGAAGAGCTTCAGTTCTGAGCATGAAAATTCTTCTAAGACTCCAGCTTGTGTTTGCATTTCATTCCATAAGCCTAAAATCAGAATCCTTTAGAACTTAGACGTGAATCCATACAACCCATAATGAACCCTCTCCTGTAAGAATATTTTTAATAAGGTGAATCATACAAGCTTTGTTCCAGACTTTTAGATTTTTCAGTCCTAATCCTCCCTCTGATTTTAGCTTGCAAATGTTCTGCCAACTGACTCTGGTGCCTGCTGTTGATTTATCATAGCCTTTCCAAAAAAAATGCGAGCATAACTGTTCAATTTTGCTGATTATTGAGTAAGGGAGCAGCAGTTGTCTGCACCAATAATTAGCAATGCTGAACAACACTGCTCTAATAAGTTCCAGCCTTCCTGCATAGCTCAGAGACTTTCTAAACCAGATCTTGAGTCTGGATATTTTTTTGTGAGCTTTCTTGTAACTACTGGAACACCCAGATATTTAACAGGCAGTAAGCCATGTTGAAAACCAGTAGCTTGCTTGATGAGTTCAATATTATTAAGAGAGATACCAACACAGAAGAAAGAGCATTTAGAAGCATTAAGATTAAGACCATAAACTCTATAGAATTGTTCCAAAACAGAGATGATTCCTATAACATAATCCACATTACCTTTACAGAAGATCAGAAGGTCATCAGCAAAGGATAATTGCGTGAGACCTATTCTTTTGCATTTAGGATGGAAGCTAAACAAGCCTTTTTCAGCAGCAATATTGAGCATTCTTGAAAGGACATTCATAGAAATAACAAAGAGAATGGGAGAGAGGGGATCTCCTTGTCTTATGCCTCTTGCTCCCTTGAAATATCCAATCAAAGTACAATTGAAAGAAATTGAAAATCTAGCCTCTGTAAAACATGTTTCAACCCAATTAATGAACTTTAGGGGAATATTTAAAGCTCTTAGCACAGAAGAGATGAATCCCCAATGAAGGGTATCAAAATCTTTTTGAAGATCAATCTTCATTGAGCATCTAGGTGAGATAGTCTTTCCTACCATATCCTCTGACCAGCTCTTGAGCAAGAAGAGTGTTATCCACAATACTCCTTCCTTTTATAAAAGCAGTTTGATTTAGTGAAATTAAATCAGGAATGAAGCAAGTAAGTCTTTGGACTAAGATCTTTGTGATAGCCTTATAGATAACAGTACAACAAGAAATTGGCCTGAAGTCCTTGACTTTGCTGGGATTGGGAATTTTAGGAATCAAAGCCATAGTGGTTGCATTAAAAGCAGGGAGCAAAGAAGAATGCTGGAAGAAGTATTTGATTGCTGCCATAACATCCTTACCAATAATATACTAAACAGATTTGAAAAACATATAAGTATAACCATCAGGGCCAGGGGCTTTATCATTTCCCTGGCCAAAAAAAGCATCATTGATTTCTTGGGTGGTGATTTCTTTGGTAAGGCAAGATTCATAAGTAGGGAAAGAGAGCAGTTCAGAATATCAATTAAGAACTGAGGGTTAGGGGCTTTTACTTTGGGATCAACAGTCCCAAGGAGTTTGGTAAAGAAAGAAAGCACTTCAAATGACATTGCATCAAAGGATTCTAGTCTATTTCCCTGGTCATCAATAAGTAACCTAATTGTTTCCTTCTTTTTCTTAGCATCAACTGCAGAATGAAAAAATTTGGAGCATTGATCACCTTCTTTAATCCATTGAACCTTTGTTTTTTGTTTCAAGAAAGCTAACTCAGCTTCTTCTAAATTTTGCAGTTCATATTGAATCTGCAATTCTTTTCCGATTAGATTTTCACCCTTCAAAGAAAGAATTTGTTGATTTTCCAGTTCTAATCTTTTGAGTTTAACCCGAGAAGAAATATCACTAAAACAGGAAGAATTAAGATTCTTGAGGCTGGATTTGATATGTTTAAGTTTAAGGAACAAAGTCTGCATAGGATTACCTTGAAAAGGATTCTGCCAAGAATGCTCAATATATCTCATAAAGTTAGGATGAGAAGTCCAGAAATTAAAAAATTTGAAAGGTTTGGGTCTATTTATGGGATTGTCTTTAGAAAACCAGACCAATGCCAAACAATGATCCGACACTCCAGGGGGAAGAAATTCAACAAAAGAGTTTTGAAAGATGTTAACCAAATTAGAGTTAATGAGAACTCTGTCAAGTTTTCTAGCAAGGTAAGCTTCAGTTTGTTATTGCTCCAAGTGAATAAAGGTCCAAAGTAAGGATGGTCATGAAGGTTAAGATCTTGAGTTAAGTCTTGAAAATCTTTTATTTCAAGAGTGGAATAGGGAAAAAGAAGTTCATGGTCAGAGCTTTCATTTGGGTGCAAAATGATGTTAAAATCACCTCCAAGTATCCAAGGAAGGTGACCAAAGGTTCTTTCCAGATCTTGAAGATGTCGCCATAACTGTCTTCAGGTAATATTATCATTGCTCCCATAGACTGCTGATAAAACAAAAGGTTGACCTAGGAACTGTCCTTTTACAGAAATAATCTTATCAGAGACTTGAATTGTAGATAGATCAATATTCATCTTCCAAAGAATCCAAATTCTCCCATTGTTTGCAAAGTAATAATTGGAGCTAACATTCCAGTTGACTAATTTAGAGTGAAAGATGTCCTTAGATTTATCAGCCTTAACTCTTGTCTCTAGTAACCAGAGAATATCTACATTGTTCTAAGAAGCCCTAAGAAGGACTTTGTCTTGCTTTAGAGGATTATTGAATCCTTTAATGTTCCAGAAACTAACATTCATTGAGAAAGGGTTTTCAGCGGGGTTTTCTCCTCCCCAACTGTAGAACTTTTATTTTTATTCAAGTTTTCTTTCTTTTTCTGTTTAAGATCTTTAACTAGTTCAACCACTCCCTTTGAAGCAATTCTAATTTTCCTTTGAGGAGCATCTTAATTAGGTGGGACTTCTTCAATAGAACTGAGTATCTCAAATATATTACTTGAACCGGCACAAGTAGCCTTTTCCTTAGAGGGTCTTCTCTTACCACGTTTAGGAACTATAGAGCTATTATCAGGATGCGAAGAGTGATCAGAAG